AATCAAATAGAGATCATTGTAAATCAGGTTAGAACTGCTGCCTCCAGGTAAGACTACTGACTGGAGGTAATTTGTATCAGTAACAGTAACACCAGTAGTACATTGTACTTGGTAGCAGTTACCTAATAATAAAATACCAGTAAATATACAAGTATAAAGTTGCAATTGTTGTTTACCTGTTGGAGGAATCATCAAGATGTGTCTTAATAAAGAGAGAGAGAGAAAGAGGAGGAGGAGTAAAGCAATAAGAGACAGAGCTGCTGGTAGTTTAGATGTCTTCTCTTCTGATGTAGTACTGCCTGACTTGCTGTCTACTGCAGCTTTGAATGAGTGAGAGTGGCGGCCATTAGCTGGTCTACTGGAGGCAGCTTGACAGTAGTTCCACAGTCCAATACTTGCTCTCCATTGAGAGACATCAATCATCTTGTAATCAATAATGACGTTACAGTTAATTACAGCTCAAGTAGTTTCTTTATCCAGTCACTAATAGTAAAGAACACAAGAGAAGTGGGTATGCATGTATATGCAACTGTGTGAACTTTATTCATGATCATTATCATTGTCACAGTTATTACTGACATTGCAATATTACTGTCATTCCAGTCATTTTTGCTAAATTTGGTGATTTCATAGTCCACGCTGGCAGTGTAACAAGTAGTTCCTGGAAGAACAGGTCATGTCAATTTCTAATCACAAATCTCAATTCATATTATTATTAAAATCTACAGTATAGAGCTTCCAAATCACTAACTTTTGCCTCTAAATGATGTTAATGCACCTACAACTTAACTATATATAACTTACATAACTTACGTAATAGCTGCATACCAATAGTCCGTAACATATTACAAACCATTATTCCTTTTGTTTTTTGTGGCCCAAAATGTTTTAGATTTGGCATTTTTTCAAAATTTAGTAACGAAAATAAAATTTCTGAAAATCAGTTCAAGATGGCCAAAAAATAGAAAATCAAAAAATTAAGCCACAAAATGGATTTTGGATGCATCCATGAAGTTTTTGTGGTCCAAAAATTTTGTGGATCCATTTTGTGGCTTTAATTTTTGTAATTTTCTACTTTTTGCCCATTTTAAATCATATTGAATCAATTTTTGCGGATTTTATTTTCATGAATTTTGAAAAAATGCCAAAATTCATGAAAATTTTGGGCTGTGAAAATTTTCCGCTATATGGTATGTAGTTTTTGTTTTGCATAAAAAGTATTTTAAGTACAAAAATACTGCCATGTACTGTGTATGTCCCTTTTTTAATACCGTATAGTGGAAATTTTGAAGGAAATTAAATTCGGCAAAGTGGCGTTTTGATAGCCATTCGCCAAAATAAAAATCCACCATTTTGAGCCATTATGTGCATGCTCAATGGCACGTGGCCACAAATATTTCAAATTACAATTCACCAATCACCAAAATTTAACAATTCGCCAAATTTTACTCCCTCCAAAATTTCTTGCTATACGGTAGCTCGGTACTATTATTACACCACACCAAATTTTATTTATTTATCTTATTTGTCATTATTTTATTTCCTGATTTTGTAATGTGTGAATTAGTTCAGTCCTAATAATAGTTCACACTATGAAATTATGAACAGCACTTTATATCTATCTACTGGTGTATATAAACCAATAATTGTCAAGTTAATATAATGAATTATTCATATCCTTTGCATTATGTTCAGCCAATGGTTTATTACATTGCATTTTGTTGTTTTGTTTGTTACATTTTGTTATGGCATTCTATTGTATTCCTTGAAAAGCACTGTAATTGCTTTAGTTGATCTACAAGTCCTACATTAACAAACATTGTCAGCTTGATAAAGTTTATATAACACCTTAACTGCTTCTTTAGGCACTGGCGTATCCAGAAAAGGGAAGAGGAGGGTGCCGAGGGCGAGCGAAGTGACCCGCGGTTTTGGCCACGCCCCTTTTTACGGCGGTAAAAGGGCGTTTTCCTTCATTTTCGTGAATTGCGGATGGGGTCAAGATAATTTCAAGCATACTACCTCGCATACTACTACTTCTGACGACTTGATCGCTCCTTAAAGCACTGGAAACTGCTAAAATCATGATCAGGTGGTTGGCTTACTTTGTTAAGAGGCTTGGCAGTGATGCAAGAGTCCAGGATTTGAGTAATTTTTTTGAGCCCAGCCATGAGGGGGATGCTCAACTCAAGCCCCCTCAGCCCCCCCTTGGATACGCTAGTGTGAGGGAGGAAGGAAGGGGTAGTATATTAGAATCTGTACTTTACATGTCTCTATTTATTTCAATTTTCTTATAATTGATAAATTTATACCTCTCCCTCCCCCCCTCTCTCTCCCCCCTCTCTCCCTCTCCTCTACAGACAGTTGATGTTATTAAGTGAATTATTTGATTGTTCATTTGTTGAGCAGTTCATAGTACCAGTGGCTATTAGACTAGGACATGATAAAGTAGCTCAGATAAGAGACTCCGCCTCCAGACTGGTTAGTACATCCATCCCTCTATTGGTTACTCTCATTATCATTATTTTATTTATTTTATTTATTTTTGTATTATTCATGTACATGTACATACACAGAAGTATGGAAGTTAATGGTTATACATGTACATGTATAAATTACCGTATGATAGTACCTTTAATTTGACAATATTTTATTTTGGCTATTTTGCTGCTACATGTATTTTTAAAATTAATTTTGGTGATTTTGCATTACTATGTACATGTACATTAATGATTGTTAATAATATATTGTAGCCATTATTCTGAAGGTATTTTTATTATTTAATTCTATTTACTATTAAACTACATGTACATGTACTGTATATCTTTGATCATGATTATGTACCTAATCTTTTACTTTCTTTAAATATCTTTCATTTATTTCTCTCTCTCCCTCTCTCTCTCTTCCTCCCTCTCTCCCTCCCTCTCTCTCATTCTCTCTCTCTCTCTCCTCCTCTCTCTCCTCCTCTAGATTGGTTCATTATTACACAAGTTCAGTCAGTCCAGTCCAACCACATGTTCATTGATATTGACTCAATTAAGAACATCATTTGCTACCAGTGAGAGATGGTTACTCAGATTAATGTAAGTCACATGACTAGGTATGAATGTGTTGTTTTTATTTTGTAACTTTAAAAATTTTTTAAAAACCAATTTTGATTGAAATCAGCTCAAACTTTCTACACAACATAAGTACATGTATATGTAAAAATAAAAAATTTTCTTGGAGCCATTTTGCTGAAATTTAACCAATTAGCGTAACTGATGATCATATTAGGGCTGTGAGGTATTAAATATAATGATACTTCGGTACGGTATTGACAAAATAT